GCAAATAAGACAACAACACCTATTCCCTCAAGCTAAGGTTAGACCAAACACTTACCTCGATTCCACGGCCAAAAATCAAGCCTCAATTACCGCTTTACCTCTCGGTTCCACTTCCAATCCGCTTGTATCTAGTCATAATTAACTTAATAACATCAATAAATGCTAAAGAACTCAATTCCCATGCTTAATTAAAGATATTCCAACATTTTCCCCAAAAAGTCAAAAACCGACCCCGGGCCCGCTTGGTCAAAACTTGAAGTTCGGACCAAAACCCGATTACCCATTTATCCACGAGCTCAGATATGCAATTGATTTTGAAATCCGACCTCAATTTGAGGTCTAAATCCCCAAATTTTGAAATTCCTAAATTCTACCCAAAAACACCCAATTTCCCATGAAAAACCCTAGATTCTAGGATGAAATAGATTGGAAGAAATAAGTTAAGAATCATTTATCTATGATTTAGGGAAGAACTTGCTCTAGGAAAATCGCCTCTTGGAGTTTAGGTTTTGAAAATTTGAAGAATGAATGAAAAATCCTGTCCAAGACCCTTTTACTCAGTTGCAGATGTCGCAATTGCGACCAGAGCTTCGCAAATGCGAAGCTCGCAATTGCGAAAGGGCTATCGCAATTGCGAAGCCTTCAAAATCCCGGCTGCCTTCGCAAATGCGAGGAAAGTGTCGCATTTGCAATCACAGACCTCGCAATTGCGATCAAATGATCACATTTGTGATCTTTTGCCTTCCCAGACTCCCTTCACATTTGCGAAGGTTTGTTCGCATTTGAGAACTATGCTAGCCTAGCCTTTTGATCGCATTTCCCTTCCGTTTTTCACCAGATTTCACAGATAAGGTCTAAATACCATAACAGACCTGTACCGGGATCCGAAACCAAAATACGGACTCGATACCAACGAGATCACACACTATTCCATTTTTAAAAATCCTTAGATTTTCCAACAAATAATTTTCTTCAAAAATTTATTTCTCGGGCTAAGGACCTCGGAATTCAATTTCGGGCATACGCCCAAGTTTTATATTTTACTACAGACCCTACCGGACCGTCAAATCACGGGTCCGGGTCCGTTTACCAAAAACGTTGACCGAAGTCAACTTTAATTAATTTTAAAGGCAAATTTCAATATTTTTCTTAAATTTCACATAAAGGCTTTCCGGAAACGCACCCGGACTGCGCACGCAAAATCGAGGAGAAAGAAAATGAGATTTTCAAGACCTCGGAACCCAGATTCGGATTCTAAAACAAAAGATGATCCTTTGGGTCATCACAATAAGGGAACCCTAAATAAGGAATATTTCTATTTATAGTAGGGAATATTCTTGTTACAGCTGTCTAACCGCCTAGTACGGACTTGTACGATGTTATTCTGGGATTTGCGCCATAATCTTAGGGACGTGGTAGGAATCTAGCTCATTCTGTTATAACGGTACTATTTCGGGGTCGAGCACACTTGGCCTCGGCATTCCTCGAACTCCTGTCTCTGGGCCTTACACTCTGTCTTCGAGCTCGAGTCTGGTCCACCGGTTTCGAACTCGATCTCTCCCGGACTTGGGCCTAGGGTGGAACCTCGAGCTTATAAATCGGGAGCATATAATTTTGACCGTATACAGCTTGCTTCCTTTGTTTTAATAAAAATGGAAAAAGGGTACAAAAGTGATTTTTTTAAAACATAACACGTTAATATGGTAAACCATTTTCTTTAGCTCCATGACTCATAATTTGAGGGTAAATTTTACAAATAGTCATATAACTATGCTTTTTTTCCATATAACTTTATTTTCTCACACAGAAGTCATACAACTTTCACTAACTCACAAAAAAGCATCATGACCGGAAAACATAATTTTTTCGTAGTATTTCTTATTCCATATTTTTTTCCAGTCTAATAAATAATAACCCAATTAAAATAGAAAAACATATATTTTTAGCCTCTCTCAAAAATAATAGCCGATAATATATATATACACACACACACACACACACACACACACACACACACATATATATATATATATATATATATACACACACACACACACACACACACACACACACACACATATATATATATATATATATATATATACACACACACACACACACACACACACACACACACACATATATATATATTTTTGTGTGTGTGTGTGTATACTATATACATATAATATACATATTTAAATATTTTTTGGCAAGCGATTACAATTAGTTTCGGTCGACAGATCTATTTTATATTTTTCCCTTAAAATAGGAATGACCCCATCCAACCTGACCAAATACCCATATATATGAATTAAAATAATACTAAAAGTGAAATCTTTTCCCCGCAAAAAAACTTAGTGGGAATGCATGAGGTTCTCACAAAAAAAAAAGATATAATTAGGGAGCGCTTAAAACAAAAATGATATCAATTTGGGTGAAAATCTTGAAAAGAAAAATAAAAGATAGAAGTATCATGGATTCACTTTTAGTATTAGTTTAATTTTATGGGATTTTTATCTTCGTATACCATATATGAAACCTTATTACCCTCAATGTTTAAGGATTGTGTTAATTACATTTCAGCATACCAAATTACCATTTATATACCATAATTCAAATTGAGGGTATAATTAATGCTTCATTTATATTAGGCGTTAATTTAGGAGCGTATATTCTCCCATTTTCGTTTACCCGCCTCTCTCTCCTCCCACCCCTCACACCCCCACGTTTTAGCTTCAGTTAATTCCCCCATTTTTGTATACTCGCCTCTCACCCACGTTTACTATCAGTTACCCACGATTCTACAATTCTCTTCTCCAGTTAATTTCACAAAATCCTATTTTGAAGTTGCATCTGTTTTTTCAAGTCCCAAATCATGAAAAAAATCAACACTCCCAAAAAAAAAAACCTTCAAAAGCTACATTAGCTGATATCTGTAGATGATGATTTTGTTGAAGATTCCCCTAAAATTCCATCTGTGAAAAAACCCAAGGTCTCTCCTTCTTCATCAAAATCAAAAAAGAAGAAACCCTCCAAAAACGTACCAGAATTGGTTCACAAAAACATTTTGGTAAAGGTAAACACTAATTATTTTTCTTTACAGTTTTTTAGTGTGATTTTGGTTGTAAAAATCTGTTGTTCAAGTGTTTTTTTGGTAAAATGTGGAATTGTCCAAATTTTGTAGATTGTTTGTCTCAATTTTGAAGGTTAATTGTAATTGTGATTTTTAGACAGTGCATAAATGTAGTTATTTTGTAGTTGTTTTGTAGGCTGCTGGGTAAATTGTAGATAAGGTATATTTTTCACCTTTTGTATGCTGCTACATTTACCTTCATACTAACTACTATTAATCTACATTTTGTGAGTTACTTGAACTAACTGTTATATTTTTGTAGTTATAGAGTTGTAGTTACCCTTTTCTTCCTTATTGTTTTGAGATAATGTTTACATGTGTAGATGTCCTGTATTGTTTTGTAGTTATAGGTGTGGTAGGTTGTTCTTCTTTTAGTTATATTTTGTAGTTATCATGTAGTTATACGTAGATTACTGCTTCTTTTTTATGCAAACTACTAATGTTCAATAATTTTTTATTTTCTGCAGAATGGTCATTACTTTGCACCACAAAATATTGATTATGGTGTGAAAGAGATGAAGAACAGATATAGGTTCGACAATTTGAGTACTGAGGTCGATGAAGAACAATTTTGAATTCTACAATTTGTATTGCGTTGTAGAATTTGTAAAAGCAAATTGAGTACTGGAGCTCCTAAAGCTTGCGTTGTTTTAGAATTGTAGTGAATGAGAGAATTACGCAGCAATGAGATCTCTTTACGTTTCAAAATTCGAATTTAATGTGGAAAGAATCAAACGCAGATTTCGTGCTTTCTTTTTAGCGCGTTTTAAATGGCAGAATCTGCCTAATTATGGATTGGTATATAAATTGTAGTAAAAGTGTGGACTGGACGGGTAATTAACAAATTATGAACATTTTTGGTAATAAGGTTTCATATATGGTATAGATAGGAAAAAATCCCTTAATTTATTTATATGTGGCTATTGGGTCAGGTAGATCATGTCCAGTTTGGTCATTCCTATTTTAATTAGATTATTATTTATTAAACTGAAAATAAAAAATATAAATCACGAATAAGAAAATACTATTGAACGTTGTATTTTCCGATCACTATGATTTTTCTGTGATTTAGTAAAAGTTTTATAATTTTTATATGAAAAAACATAATTATATAACTTTAATAAAAAAAAATTATATTTATATGAACATTTGTGAAATTTATCCCAAAATTTGACAAACTAATGAGGTAGAGCTTGTCGACCGTGGTGAATACTCGCAATATTTCCAAAAGTCTTAGATACCATAAGATAGATAAGTTGTGGTTGTGGTCCATTTGACAAATGTTTTCCTTTAGATTCTTTTTTTTCTTTCATTTTTCCTTTTTTTAAAAAAATTTAACTTCTATTCAATACTGATTTTTTTAAAAAAAAAGTATATTATCATGTCGTATTTTTTTGCATTAGCAAAAAATGATAATTATAATTGTGAAAGTAACACGTGCATAAGAAGATTGGGATTAATAACCTAAAAAGTAAAGCATATTACTTATTACAACACTATATATATATATATATATATATATATATATATATATATATATATATATATATATATATATATATATATATATATATATATATATANATATATATATATATATTACATTGTTAACTAATGTATACAAAATTACTCTTCTATTTAAGAAAATACTATAAAACTAGCGGCACACACTTATATATCGGACGCAACAATTCAGAAGTTAATTTCATTTCCAAAATGATAATATCGTAGTCATTGCGAATGAGACCCAAAATCCACATTTTTAATCCATAAATTTCGGTAGCATATTCCAAATTTAAGCAAATATTCCAATATGTACATAAGAATTGCTGACTTGGCACACACTATATATTCATTCACTCTTCCTCCACCAAAACACAATTTCATTCAAAGACATCCATTTTCTTTTATTTTCATATCTTTTTTTTCTTCTTTTTCTCTATCTATCCTAGATTCTAAATGATCATTACAAGAAACATGGATGTTCAAAATGAAAATCCAAATATGGTAGAAGAAAATAAAATCCTATGCAGTTTCTTTCACGGAAATATCTTTATACTTACAAATGAAGAAGAAGAATACTGCAATTACAATTATAATAATGAAAATAATACCTCTAGTTATATATTAGGTTGTGAGGATTATGATGAAAGAGGAAACAATGAGGCAGAAAGAGCTATTTATTGGGAATCACAACAAGCCTTGCTGCAGGTGTGTTTATAAAGCTTTTTTGTATTCATCTTATTACATGAATTATGTTCTTAAAATTTTGGAGGAACATCTTAAAAGCTGAAACAAATAATTCTTTCTTTTAAATATGTTCAAGATGGTGTTTTTCATTTCCATTATCTACTGATTCTATGTTACAAATTTTTTAATCATTAAGGGGTTTTAATTTGTTCTCTTATTACAAATAAACTTTTGTCGTTGTTCCTTTTATTTTTGCTCCCAATGCAACGGTGAAATTGATAAACCTGGCCTCTTGATACGATTTGCTCATTTTCCCACTTTTGCGGAATATTTGCTACAAATTTGCTTTGGGGTATAAACAAATAGAATTTTGAATAAATTTTTTGAAATGGAATTAATGGTGATTGCTTCGTCTATCAAGAAGTTTTTCATTTTCAGGTTTTGATTGCGAGACTTCTAGTTTAGTGGGGTTTCATTTTCATTAGGCAAAGAGGTTCTTTTCTTAAAAAATTTGGCTTATTGCATGAATTTTTTTATTTATTATTTTCTCTTTTCAAAGAATAAATTTTATAGAGTACTTTTGAATTGGAAACAAAAACCACTTCACCTTTTGATTGTAAAAAGGATAAGTTGAAAAATTTTCAGAAGTCTCAAAATTTTTAGAAAGATTCGGGATTGTGTTCGCATAACCGATAATATTTAAATTTTACTAGTATATTTTATATATTTCTATTTTGTTAAGTGTTCATCAATGAATTTATTTTCAAAAGATTAACATTTCATATATTCATAAAAATATGTGGGGTAGGTAGAAAGCAGACTGTATGGTTTACCTTTAATTTCTTTTTTCAATTGACGTTTATATTTAGTTATTGACATGAAATATCTGGAACAGTCATTTTCTAGATTTGGCGAAACTATAAACGTGCTTTGTTCAGGCAAAACATCTGGTGGAATTTTAATGTGAGGCTGCAGTTAATCATATAAACAAAATCACTCTTTTGTTTGGCTTTTAGCATTTTCCTATCATCGTAAAATACTAAAATATAACAACATTAAAGCATGTGCTACGATATTCAAAAAATATATCTTACATATTCAGAATAGAAATTTTCAGTGGAATATATTGCGCAATTTGCTTGACACTATGGTTCTTTGTAAGGACATATAAAAATCCTTTATGGAGGGCAAGATTTTTCAATATTGATCAGTCAATATATTTAGTGTGACCACAATTGAATGGTTAAGGATTTGGTCCTTTATTACGATAATTCTAGACCACTCTTTTGGCCACTATAAATTCCATTACTTTGTAGGGCTCACCTGATGTCACACATAGTTTTCACATTTTCTTATTTCCCATTAATTGGATAACTAAAAACTAGTTTATGTAAAATCAGAGGTAGTTAAACTTCAAAAGGGTCCATTTTCCAAAATCTCTTTCTACATTATCTTTTTGGTTTCACGCCCGGTGTTTGGTACCCGCATTGGAGCGCGATCATATTCGGATTCGCGCCGGGTAGGGCTCTATTTGGGGAGTAGCGCTCCCTACCAAGGACTTTTCCATACACAGGGCTCGAACCCGGGACCTTCTAGTTAAGGGAGGAGCAGTCTCATACACTGCACCACATCCTTTTGTAGTCTCTTTTAACATTTTCAAAGATTCATCTAAGATACAAAAAATCTTAAAGCAAAACAAAGAATCGTGTAATTATGTCATGCTCTTTTCAAGGGTTATTTATAAAATATAATTTTGCAAAATATTTCAGGAAATTTTGGAGCAATATAGCTTGATTGGATCAAAACTACGAGAAGGGATTACAAGAAATATTGATAGAGTTAAAGAGGGAAATGTTTGTGAATGTTCAAATCCAAAAGTAGAAGGATGTGCTAAGTGCTTAAGGAGAAGAGTGATACATCAGCTTTGTGAAAAGGGATTCAATGCATGTCTTTGTACTTCCAAATGGAAACACACCTCAAAGATGCCAGGAGGTACCATACTACTTTCCCTTCACATAATTAATAGTATTTTTTTGTTTCCCACCTAATGTCTGATACTCGCACCGGAGCCCGACTATATCCGGATTCGCGCCGCGTAGGGCCCATTCTGGGGGGAAGCGCTCCCTGCCAATGATTTTTTCATACCCAACGCTCAAACCCGAGACCTCTGGTTAAGGGAGGAGCAGTCCCATCCACTGCACCACATCCTTTGGTGGTATAATTAATTGTATTCGTTTTAGTGAAGTTGATGATTAATAATTTCTTGCAATTTATTTGAATTTAACTTATATATATTTATAATGTAGAAAATTTCACTAATACTATATTTAAAAATATTAAATTTGTCTTATTTTTCAAGTTACTAATATAATCCAAATACCGGACATTTATTTATACTTATCTTCTAAATAATGTGATAATTGTAAAAAAAAATATAAAAAATAGATTAACTATCTTACCATTTACTATGGGTTTGACTTTATGCATTGACAATGAAATTTTTTTACATATCAGGTCGCCAAAAAATAACTCTAAATTTATAACTATTACTAATAAGTGGAAATTAAACTAGTAACTTGCAAAATAAGATACGCAATCTGTTATGTATAATAAGTTAAATAAAATTAATAGTATCAAAATTATTTTATATTATCAGAGTATTAATTTAAGCATAGGTAAATAATCTTAATTAAATGGGCTTGCTCTCAACATGCAGGTAGACATGAATACATAGAAGTGATAGCAAGCACACAAGGAAGAAAGAAGAAAATCCCATTCTTGATAGAATTGGAATTTCAAGATGAATTTAAGATGGCAAAAGCATGCAAGGAATATAAAAAACTAATAAGCCAATTGCCAGAGGTTTTCATAGGCAAGTCCGAGCACTTAAACGCCATTATTCGATTGATGTGTGATGCAGCCAAGAAATCAACAGAACAGCAAAGAATCCATTTGGGTCCGTGGAGAAAGAGGAATTTCATGCAGATGAAATGGTCAGCTAATAATTCAAATACTACTGCAGAAAGGAGAGTAGTTAATACTAATATTATTGATCAACAAACTTTGAGTAAACTAAGGTTGAATATTTCACCAAGGCAAGAAGTAGTCTTGAATGATGTTAGGCCTGGTTTGGAGTTTGCTGCTGCAACTGCTGTCAAAGTTGCATAAATTAACACTTCCCAGGTCTTGGATAAATGTAGTAGGCTACCTATTCCTATTTTGCGAAGATTTTAATGGTTTTGAGATTATGAGTTAGGTTTTTTGTTGGAACTTGTGAAGAGTTATGAACTACCGGCACGTCTAGTTATGACATCCAATTTTAATATTTATGAGGGTTAATTCCACGCATAGTTATTTAACTTTCACTTTATGCATCGAAGTCATATAATTAATTTTTGTAATGAAAAAAATATAAATTCATTATACATATATATATATATCACAATAAAAAATAAAAAATATAGGAATCTAATCCAGAGACACTCGTTGTTTGTCTCTTCAGCAACTCACCTTACATAATATTCACGTAACAATATTTAATGGAAACAAAAAATTCATCTTCGACAGCAAATCCCCTGCCTATTTCAGACCATTTTACTTGACCAAAACCTCAAAGTTTTACCCGGTCAAAACGTCACCTTTAATCACAAAATCTTCTCCATTGGTTAACCGTACAGTAGCAAACAGTAAAATAGTGCTACCGTGAAGGTTTCCAAACATTAACACATTTAATTTGTTCAAAAATAGCTGAGCAGATTTCTAAAGTAGGCAAAAATATATGAACAGGAAACGACAAACCCCAATTGAAGTGGGTAACGGTAAGGCATTGATCGGATAGCCTGGAGGTTTGGTCGGATAAAATAGTTGTGTATTAGGGTAGAATGAGAAACTAGCATGATCCATACCAAACGGCTCTATAACAAGCACTATCTTTTTTTTCTTTTTTTTGGAACTAACACATTAAAACCTCTATCTATTTATCTTGAGGCTTTAATTTCTCACCTAAATATTCCGAAAGATTTATTACCCCTTCTATTCTTGTTCAAAATGTATCTACCATCACCCTAAAACGTTATAGTGGCATCGAGAGTTGATTCCTAAAACGCGTGAGGTTAGATAAATATTAAAAATTTATATTTTGCGTTATTTCTTTCATTAAAAAACTTTCCCTACTTTTTATTTGCATTATACTTTTTCTTTTCTTCTTTTATGTTTCTCTTCCTTTCTTTTCTTCTTTCCTTATCCATTACTCTGCTCCACTAAAAAATGTTAAATTTTTGAATTGAATTGAATTGAATATTGCAATTGTGAGCAAAGATGAAACGGAATATTGCTAAGCTAATACAATAGTGCATATCTAATTTGACTAACACCACTAACCGCCTATTGGAAAACGGTACAAGTAACTAACTAATAGCTAACTACAGTTATAACTGACTAGTTCACTAACTATAGTTAACTTAATAGATGGTAACTAAGACTAATTAGTGACAGCACACGTGGACATATCCATTACACTTCTCCTCAAGTTCGGAAGTATGAAAATGTTTTTCATTTCTAGCTTGGATACCAAGTAGTCATATTGAGCTCTGCCAAGACCCTTGGTGAGTAAGTTTTCTTGCTGCTTTGCTGAAGCCAGCTTGTTGAACCTTCTCCGTGATGAAATGTTAATTAATATCTGCGTGCTTGGTCCACTCGCGAAATACAGGATTAGCAGCAATCTGAATGGCAGACTTGCTATCATAATATATAGGCATTGATAAGGGGTGTTTTACACGTCAAATCCCTTGAACTTACCAAGTAGCCAAACAACCTCATCAACAAAGAATGTCAAACTTTTATACTCCGCCTCAGCTGAGCTCTTGGAAATGGTTGATTGTTTCTTGAACTTCTAAGAAATCAGAGAGTCATCTCTTGGAAATGGTTGATTGTTTCTTGAACTTCTAAGAAATCAGAGAGTCATCAAATTCAACGAGATAGTAACAGAATTTCTAGTGTGGGCATCTCAATCAGCATCACAAAATGTTGATAAAGACTTATAACAGTGCGCCTTCAATAGAACTCCAAAGTCTGGACAATGCTTGATGTATCAAAGCAGCTTCCATAGAGACACTTTGGGAAAATGCATAAACTGACTGGGACTTTGTACCTTAAATGAGATGTCTGACCTTCTAATTATAAGATAAAGCAACCTTCCAAGTAATCTTTGGTAAGCACAAGGATCATCTAGAGGCTTATCCTCAATTGTCCTATATGAGAATCAAATTCAGTGCTAATACAGGTTTAGATCTTGATAGCCCCATATGTCACGACCCAAAACCCAACGTAGGGCGTGATGGAGCCTAACGCTCTATTAGTCAAGTCAACAATTAAATCAAAAAATCATTAGTTAATTCAGAATGCGTTTCAAAACAATTAAAGTAATAAGGAGTGAAAATCGTTCGTTTTTAAAGGAAATATAGATGCTATTATTTTAAATGTTCGAATGAGACCAAAATATGAACCAGGAAATCATAGCAGAATACAACCAAGAGCAAAATCTAAATCCCCAAAACTCGGTGTCACAAGTGCATGAGAATCTACTATAACAAATACAACACTGCTACGACATATGTCTAAAATAGAAATAGACAGAATATAGTATAACTAGGACGAGAACTCTGTATTCTGCGGATCGTAACATAGAATGCATATGCGTCCAAATGACCACCAAATGTACTTGTCTCAGTACCTTCACAATCAGTGCAGAAGTGTAGTATGAGTACGTAAATCAACGCATACCCAGCAAGTATCTATCCTAACCCTGAAGAAGTACTGGCGAGGGATCGACATCGACACCTACTAGTGGTCGAATAAATCAAGTACAATAAAAGTAGCCAGATATGGAGCATGGCAAGTAAAACAGTGAAGACAAATATATGTACATAAAAAAGATCCTCCACGGATGAGTAAACACAAAATCCTCGAGTACCGAATATTACCGCGAATGGGTTGTATGTTAAGTCAATAACCACTAAAATATCATGTCTCAAGTTAGAAAAAATCATAGATACGCTGACTCCTTATCGAATATTACGCACGATTCTACCAAGGTGAAGGGACCGATCCTATAAGAGTGACGGTATGAAATCTCTCCATGGTGTACAACCCAATACCATAAGAGTAGTGTACTCAGCCAAGGCGAACAACCCGATCCCATAAGAATATATACTCCGCCGAGCCGAATAGCCGATACTATAAGAATATGTACTCTGCCGAGGTGAATGGCCTGATCCCATAAGAGTGTTGCATGATACTGCCGAGGTGAACGATCCGATCCCATATGAGTGTATTACATAATACTACCGACATGAACGGCCCGATCCTATAAGAGTATTGCTGAGGCATTCAGCCCGATTTCATTAGATTATGAAACTTTGACGGGTCACTTGCCCCACTCACGAATATAAGTGTGAGTCATAAAATCCAAGAAAACTTTCGGAAAGATATGCACAACGCGGAAGAAATCTGTAAAAGGAAGTATAATGTCCACCACAAATAAAATAGCTCGTCAAGTATCTAAAGTAGCGAGTCTGATACTTACGCAAGTCTACTCTCAGGCTAAAATGTAATTAAGGCATTTAAACAGGCAAGAATAAATCAAATAATACAATTAAAGCATGGGGTGAGTCTAGGTCTACCCGGACATAATTAGAAATTCTGCATACGTAAGGACACTCGTCACCTCATACCTGCGTAGCTCCCATAACACGTAGCACATAATAAATATAGCATCTATGGGGTAAATTCCCCCTCACAAGATTAGACATGAGACTTACCTCGCTCTGAAATCCGATAACCGTCTCCAACGCATCTCTAACACCTCAAACCAATGCCAAACAATCTGAAACAATCCAAATAACATGCAGACCAATCAAAACATACTAAGAACCTATAATTTATCATTTAGAAACAATTCCCAACCCCGCACGAAAAGTCAACCCCGAGCTCGCGCGTCCGGATTTCAAAAATTATCGAAAATAAATATTACCCATAACTTATATAGTCTATATCCATAAAATCATCCAATTTTATCCATGAATTGACCTTCAAATCAAGGATTTATCAATTTTCAACTTTGGGGCTCAAAATCCCAATTTCTACAATTCAAATACGGATAAAAATAACAACCAATAGAAATAATCATGAAAAAACGTCAAAATAAAGGCTATATATTTACCCTCTTGTTGAGACGAGAACAACACCGCAAAAATCACCTGAAACGGAGCCCTAGAACTTAAGATATGCTCAAAAAACTAAAATGATCGATCTGCCAATTTAAAACACTACCAGGTGATTTTTGTTCTTCGCCTTCGCGGGACACCTTCGCGTTAGCGAAGAGAATTTTTTCGGGTTGATCGATCAACCCAGAATTTCTTCTTCGCATTCGCAAACGTTCACACCAGAAACCAACAATCTTTCCCGACACAGAAATGGGCATAACTCTCTCAAACAACATCAGAATTCGATAATTCTTGTTGATATAGTTCCATAATTATAATACGGATATGGTGTTTCAATATAATCATAAATAAAAGGTCATTTTCTCAATATGGTACCTGTTATGCCCAAAAGAAACGATGATGAATCACCAAATAAGAGCGCGACACAACCCAAATCCATCCGAAACTCATCAGAATCTAACCAAAACTTGCGGACAAGTCCAAAATCATCATACAAACCTGTTGAAACTTTTAAATCATGAATCCGAGCTCGTTGATAACCATGGAGTTTAGCCTATCTTATGCTCTCTTTTGCTTAGGTCTTGGATAAAAAATGTGTAAAAGTATTTCCAAAAACTGACTTAATGTGCTTGTCTGCAGGGTTTGGGCAGAATGAGGCAAGAAAGCCAAAATCAACTCATGAAGGAGTTAAAATTGCACAAGTTCAAAGCTGGGACTGAAGCGCTGACCGCGATGGAAAAGCGCGGCTGCGAAAAGTCCACCGCTGAAGCGGCCATAGTTACGCGGTCCGCGGAAGTGAGGTCAGAGAAGATGTTTTGGAGACATCAGTGACCGCGGCCCGCGATGAAAAAGCGCGGCCGCGGAATACCTGACGCGGCCGCGAAGATATTTCCGCTGAGAGTGTTGATCAAAGTTCAGAGACCCTGCAAGTTGAGCCTGACAGAGGAACGCGGTCCGCGTCCAAATTACGCGACAGCGGTTGATGCTTACGCGGAGGCTGCAACTTTTACACTGGCCGCGAAATCAAGTCCAAACCAAGCACAAAAGTGAAGAAACACGGTCCGCACTTGTTTTGCGCGGCCGCGAAAGGCTATACGCTGAGGCGT